GACATCAAGTTTGAGGTCAACATGAATGGATCAAAACATAGAGGACATGACCGAAGTGTTTGGAATGTCCCCAGAATGTGAGGTTATCATTAATTATATATTATGGTGCAGGTAACTGAATATTAAAGTGTATGATTATTGAATAATTAACAATGTAAGAAGATGGAGTAATGTATCCAATAGTAGGATGCAAATCGTAATACTAGTTGGAGAAAACATACTATCTAGTGTAGCAGCAAAATTATTATGATTGATTTAGAAATCATTTAGAAATCAAAAAGAAAGCAGGTCCAAGCTGTGAGGTTGTGTAAAGAGGAGAGACAACCTCCCCCCCCCCCTCGGAGAATGGGTGAGTGCTGAAATCCCTGTCAAAGCTCGAGATGTGGCTCGTAAGGCGTGAAGGTCACAGGAATAAAGAGAGCAAGGGGCGAGAAAGAAGAAAAAGAAATGGTGGGCTGAGAAGGAAGAGAAAAGAGAGAAAAAGAGGAGGAAAACAGAGAGAAAAAGGAAAGGGCAAATAAAGAGAGAGAAGGGGGTGAAACTATAATGAATATTATTAGACTTGTTATGAAACGAATATCATGAATAGGCAATAATCAATTTCCACTCACCACACTGCAAGAAAGATTATAAGACACAGCAAAAGGAGGAGCAATACCACAGGGAGGATGATATATTCGCTTTTAACTCCGGGACCAATCACTGTTAGCTGTTCAGAATCACTGCAATGATATCTGTTGCATGCATTCACAGTCACCTCGTGTTCCTCACCTGCTGTTAAACCTTCCAACTGTAAAAAAAAAATCACACAACTCCAATGTACAAACGGGTAAAGCAATCAAATTAGTATGATTACACTTTTTTTTTCATTTTTTTTCTTTTTAAGGCTATAATTATTTTATTCCTTGGTTTACGGATTTTTTTTCTGAAAACCTCTAACAGCCGGTCGCAAGATAAACATAAAAATGGGTGTTTTGATTTTTCCGAAGAATAATTTATTAATTTCTGGAAACATAATGAAATGACAATGACAGAGCTCCATCGCGTCTGGAATCAGTATTGTTCATGTGCCCACAGACAGGAATGATCTCCGGCGACATATTGTGCCTGAGACTAACGGCAGATACCATCGACTGTGGAGGTTTCTATAGGTAGAACTGATTAGAATACCCGAACATCAAATTTTGCCGGAGCGGTGGGGGGAAAAGTTGATTTCTCAATTATTTTTATGTTCGAAAATCGGGCAAAACAAGTCCACAAACCAAGAAATAAAATGATTGTCGCCTAAGCATAGCATGAGAGACCTTACTAACCAGACATTCAAGGCGGTCTGCACTGACATCAACATCGCAAGAAAGGTTGTGACCGTCCAGCTTGACAGCATAGACGACGCGTCCCCCAGCCATGTCCACAGGAGGCTCCCATGACAGGAAAACCTCTCCATCAGAGATGCTGTAGTTGACCCTCTGCGGCGGTGAAGGCACTGCCAGAAAGGGAGGACTTAGTGACAAATGCTTAGTGATAATGATGGTGATAACGATAATAATAATGATGGTTTGAGCAATAATAATTTGGGGTCTGTTGGAAGTCTCTTGGAACTTGAGTCAAATTGTGGCTAACTATTCATCGTGCTTCTAAATTACTCACTGTGCCCAAAGAATGGACGGGGTTACCAACCACTGGCTTTGGAATTTATGTCTGGAAAATTGCTAGATGAGAGTTCAGCATATATAGACGTGTTTGCATAAACATAAGCACTCACAAACGCTTGGAACTTTTGAATACAGGTTTCTCTAACTCATAAACATGTATAAGCACACACACAATGTATACAGCTACCTACATTTGTACGGGTATACTAAATTACAAGAAAATATCTTGAAACAAGAGTAGATACGTACATAAAGGTCAGGAATCTTAGATACTTGATATGATACAAATTGATGAAATTATGGAAGAGGCTTTATATATAACACTATTTATCATATATACTATTAATTATGGAATCAAATACGAGATTTTTTTTCAGTGTGTTAAAATCTACTTTTATGTGGGGGGAGGGGGCTACCATCCTGTATGTGCGAATGAAAAATCCACGCTGTGGAAACAATGTAGGCTCTAACTTTGGCCCTTTCACCATTGCAGTGAGCACGTGACATGCAATGTGTAATATTCCAGCCATCTTGCCATGCATCTTGCACGACAGTCTGATGCTGCTCTTGAAAAATCTATATGCAATCTACTTTCCTGACTATGTCTTTGGGTTAAACCATGCAAGGTAAAAACAACAGGAGTCAGTGTGATTTTTAAACTTGCCTCCTGGTAGAGTCCTCGTTGCTTGTCCATTAGGTTCTCCACTTTCCGCCGCCCCAGCATTCCAGGCAATAACCTTGTGAAGACATAAATCTTTCTTATAAACAAGACACAGAAGCCACAACTAAGTTGTTCCATGATAAAAGCACAGTCAAAACGTTAAAATTCTGACATCATCATTATTGTT